AGTGGTAGAGAGCTTGCCTTGCATGCCAGAGGCCCTGGGTTCGATTCCTCAGCACCACATAAGCAAAAAGAAAAAAGCCGGAAGTGGCGCTGTGGCTCAAGTGGTAGAACGCTAAGCCTTGAGCTGAAGAGCTGAGGGACAGCGCCCAGGCCTAGAGTTCAGGCCCCACGACCAGACCCCCCCTCCAAAAAAGAAAAAGCAGGTAAGATTTCTGTAAGTACTGTAGTTCTGGGGGCAGATGGCAAGGAATGAAATTATTTGAAAAAAAATCTATTGAAGGTCAAAAAACTATGAGATGTTTGAGTTCTGTCTATGAAAAAAGCTTCCCTCCAGATGGGTACAGACAGTGATGCACCCCCCTCTGTCCCCACCCCTGGCCGGAAGACTGTCTCCCCTCAGAACGGAGGGCAGGGTGCTGGCCTCCTGACGGCTGTTTCTAAGTTCCAGACAGGTGTGGCCAAGAGGAAGATGCTCCCTGGTTGTGCCTGGTCCCCACCTGTAGGGTAGAAGGCATCCTTGGGCACAGGACCACCTGCATGAGGACCCGCACCCTTGTGTTCATCCTTTGCTCATGGTCTCATGCCAGGAGAGGCGAGCTGAGAACTGAGCACGTCCATTTCCTTCACCTACGCCCTTACCTTTACACCCAGCTCCAGAGCCAGGAATTGGAGGCCACTCTTAGGAGGAGAAGTCAGCCAGAAAAGAGCCCTTAATTTCTTCCCCCAGGAACTGACGTCATCTGTACTGGTGGAGACAAGTTTAAGATTAAGGGTACTAAATTTAGTTGGAGCCTGGGCACCAGTTGCTTGTATCTGTAATCCTTGCCAATCCAGAAGCTGAGGGCTGGAGGGCCACAGTTCAAAGTCAACCCAAGGCAAACACGTCTAGGAGACTCCATCTTCAAAAACAACCAGCAAGCCAAGCGCTGGTGGCTCACACCTGCAATCCCAGCCACTCAGGAGTCTGAGATCTGAGGATCACGGTTCAAAGCCAGCCCTGGGCAGGAAAGTCCTTGGGACTCCAATTAGCCACCAGTGGCTCTGTGGCTCAAAGTGGTAGAACACTCGTCTTGAGCAAAAGAGCTCAAGAATAGGCCCTGGGTTCATGCCCATGACTGAATGTAAGTCAGAGTGGAGGCATGGTTTGGGGAGCAGTTAGGTCCCTAGGGCATTGTTGAAAACAATAGAGCAGACTGCCATTAGTGGTGTTTAATAGCTGGGTGCGGCTAGGGAGAGAGCCAGCAAAGAGAAACTGCTCAAACCATGCCAGTCCAGAGTGAGCGAGGGCATGCACAGCCAAGGCCTGAAGAGGCAGCAACAGATGAGGAAGCCTGCAGGGGGATGAGGAGTAAGGGCGGGAGAGAGATGGGACCAGCATCTTCTTCTCTAGGGAAGTAAGAGTAACAACCAAATGTCCCAGGGCGCTGAAGACCTCATGAAGTGATTGCAGGGAGGGAGAGGGGGAGCATCAGGACCCCTGGACACAGGTTGAAACTTTAAAGGTAAAAATCCAGAAACACAGCATATCAAGGACAGACTTGCTAGATGGGGTCCCATCAAAATTCAAAGGGCCATAACAAACAAGGCAGAGAATGGGAGAAGATTTGTACCAGCTATCCATCAGACAAGGGCTTAATATCCAGAATAGACTTAGAGCTCAAAAGATTAAATCCACAAAGATAAATAAATAGGCCAATGAAAGACTGCTCAGAAGTAAAAACAGCCAAAACATGAAGACATGCTCAACATCTTTGGCATAAAGGAAATGCCAATCAAAACACCATCAGCGGCTGGGAATGTGGCTTAGTGGTAGAGTACTTGCCTAGCATGCATGAAACCCTGGGTTTGATTCCTCAGTACCACATGCACAGAAAAGCTAGAAGTGGTGCTGTGGCTCAAGTGGTAGAGCACTAGCCTTAAGCCAAGGAAGCTCAGGGTTAGGGCCTAGGCCCTGAGTTCAAGTCCCAGGACCAGTAGGGAGGTGGGGGAAGCCACCACCACCAATATTCCACCTCACCCTAGTTAGAATGGCCATTATCAAGAAACCAAACAATAAATACTAGGGAGGATGTGGTCAAAAGGGAACTTTATTACACTGTTGGTGGGAATGTAAACTTGTTCAACCACTCTGGAAAGCAGCATGGAGGTTCCTCAAAACACACAGAACTCCCCTGATCTAGCAATTCCACAAACCAGGTTACAATAAAACCATTATCGTGCAGAAGCACTAACTCACCACAGCCAAGATCAGAGTCATCCCAGAGGCCCCTAATGGAAAAGTGGGTCAAAATAAAATAGATATATGTGTGTGTGTGTGTGTGTGTGTGTGTATTTTATTCATTACAATGATATCGTACTATTTGTAAGGAAATGGAACGACAGAAAAAATTATATTGTGAAGTAAGTCAGAGCTGTAGAAACAAAGGTCTGGAAATGTCTACCATGAGCAAAGTCCTCATTTTTTTTTTTTTTTTGTCGGTCGTGGGGCTTGAACTCTGGGCCTGGGCGCTGTCCCTCAGCTCTTCAGCTCAAGGCGAGCGCTCTACCACTTGAGCTACAGCGCCACTTCCGGTTTTCTGGTGGTTTATTGGAGATAGGAGTCTCACGGTCTCTCCTGCCCGGGCTGGCTTTGAACCATGATCCTCAGGTCTCAGCCTCCTGAGTAGCTAGGATTACAGGCGTGAGCCACCAGCGCCCGGCAAAAGGTAATGGGTACATTTTATTTTTTGGGTCCGATCATGGGGCCTGAACTCTGGGCCTGGGCGCTGTCCCTCAGCTCTTCAGCTCCAGGCTAGCACTCTACCACTTGAGCCATAGTGCCACTTCCGGCTTTTTTCTTTTTGCTTATGTGGTGCTGGGGAATCGAACCCAGGGCCTCAGGCATGCAAGGCAAGCACTCTACCACTGAGCCACCTTTCCAGCCCCTGTCTTCTATCTTTTCTACACTCAACCACTTGAGCCATGCCTCCAGCCTGATTATAAATGGTATCACATGAACTTTTTGTCTGAGCTGGCTTCAAACTGCAACCCCCCAGATCTCAGCCTCCTGAGTAGCTAGATTAAGGTTGTGAGCCACCAGCACCAGGGAATTTCAATCCCTTTTACTGCCTTCTTCAAAAAGATGAACTGTAGATTTCCCAGATATGAGAAAAGTGAATTTGTTGCTAGCAGCCATGTGTTAATGGAAAGAGGACTAGGCCAGTGACTTCTGCCGGTGACACCAGTTACCCTAGAAGCGGGAGGCATGGGTAGGAGGATCTCATTCTGAGGCTAGCTCCAGGCAAAACACAAGGCTCCACTTGGGAAAAAAGAGGAAAGGAAAAAAAGAGTTGACTCCAGTGTCTAGCAAGTGTGAGGCTTTGACTTCAAACTCCCTCCAACGGACAAAACAGGCAAGGGAGTTCTTCAGGCTGCCAGGGGCTGGGGGAGGTAATCTGACTCCCTACCTCTGACCTGACAGTCAGCTCCAGCTGCCACAGAGGAGTATCTCTGACTGCAGACTTCCGCTCTTCACGCCGGGAGCCCAGCCCAGCAGCGGGGTGTTCTGGTTAGGGTGGGAACACCCCCCACCCCTTTTTCTCGGTGGCCTTTACCGGAGTGGGATCAGGATTTATTTGGCACCACTCATGTCACAACTTTCTCCCTGTTGTGACACTTGTGGCTGCTTGTCATGGCCGAATGAAATACAGTATGTTCCTACCCGTGTCCTCATCACCAGCATACACACCAGGTCTCACCCCATTCCCCAGCATGAATAGTGTCTGTTCAAGTCGTGGCTTTCTGTGTGTGTGTGTGTGTGTGTGTTGATCCTAGGGCTTCAACTCAGGGCCTGAGCGCTGTCCCTGAGCTTTTGTGCTCAAGGCTAGTGCTCTACCACTTGGAGCCACAGCACCATTTGTGGTTTTTCGGTGGTTAACTGGAGGTGTGTGTCACCTGGGGACTTTCCTGCTGGGGCTGGTGTTGAACTGTGATGCTCAGATCTCAGCCTCCTGTGTAGCTAGGATTACAGGCATGAGCCACCAGTGCCCAGACTTTTCTTTTCCTAGTCATAATGGTGTGTGGGGAGGGTTTGAACTCAGGGCCAGAGTGCTCTCCCGAAGCTTTTTTTGCTCAAAGTTGGTACTCTACCACTCGAGCCACAGTTCCATTTCTGGCTTTTTGATGGTTAATTAGAGATAAGAGTGACAGGGACATTTTCTGTCCAGGCTAGCTTCCAACCTCAACCTTCAGATCCTGAGTAGCTGGGGTTATAGCAGAGATTACAGGCATGAGCTCCAGTGCCTGGCTTGGAATGATGCTGTTTTCTTTATATATATATATATATATATATATATATATATGTATGTATGTATGTATGTCAGTCGTAGGGCTTGAACTTGGCCTGGGCGCTGTCCCTTGGCTCTTCAGCTCAAGGACAGTGCTCTACTACTTGAGCCACAGTGCCACTTATGGTTTTCTAGTGGTTTATTGGAGATAAGAGTCTCGGAGGGGCTGGGAAGGTGGCTCAGTGATAGAGTGTTTGCCTTGCATGCATGAGGCCCTGGGTTCAATTCCTCAGCACCACATAAGCAGATAAAAGCCAGAAGTGTCTCTGTAGCTCAAGTGGTAGAGTGCTAGCCTGGAACAAAAGAAGTTCAGGGACAGCACCCAGGCCCAGAGTTCAAGCCCCACAACTGACACACACACAAAAAAAGTCTCATGGACTTTTCCTGCCTGGGATGCCTTTGAACCTTGATCCTCTGATCTCAGCTTCTTGAGTAGCTAGGATTACAGGTGTGAGCCATCAGTGCTCAGCTTTCTTAAGATATTTAGGTGGAATACAAATGAACTTTTAGGTGAAATACCAATGTGCCACAGACTTAAACACCTCTAGAGATGAGTGGGGGTACGAATGAAACTGTTTACTGCTTTATTTTCAATACTCAAAAGTCCTGTGTGCCCGGCACACACGGCTGTCCCATGCTGAGCTGTGCGCTTGGCTCAGCGGCCTGCTCTCCTGCATCAGATCAGCCGCCTCCTGAAGCCGTGGGAGATCACGGTGCTCTGGTATTTGGAGAGCGGGGAATACATAGGCATGTCTGTGACCTTGATTTCTGAGGAGCCTTTCTTTAAGACGATGTTGCGGTCTTCTCCGTGGCAGAGCCTTTCACTGCAGTTCAAAAACAGAGTGTCTTCTAATGAGCCGGTGTAAATCCCGTTTGCCTTGGCCTGCTGCAAGGAAAGCCCCAAACCTCCTGTTAATATCACACCAGATACACTTTCCTGTTAGATTAAGATGGGGAGGGGGTGCTGCTGGCTTACTCCTATAATCAGGAGGCTGAGCTCTGAAGATCATGGTTCAAAGCCAGCCTGTGCAGAAAAGTCTGTAAAATTCTTACAATTAACCAACAGAAAAGCTAAACTGGAAATATGGTTCAAGTAGTAGAATACTAGCTTTGAGTAAAGAAAGCTAAGCAAGAGTTCAAGCTCTGGTACCAACACACACACACACACACACACACACACACACACACACACGGGCGTGCACGCGCTCATACATGTATACCCAGATGGCGGTTAATTGGGAAGGGAAGGAGGAGTGGAGCCCATTTCAAAAATAATTTTTTACAGTAAAAGATGAGAAATTTTGCTATTTGCTGACGGTTCATGCCTATATCCTACTCAGGAAACTGAGATCTGAGGATTGTGGTTTGAAGCCAGCTTGGGCAGGAAAGTCCATGAGACTCTTCTCTCCAATTAACCACCAAAAAGCTACAAGTAGAGTTGTGATTCAAGTGGTAGAGTGCCAGCCCTGAGCAAAACAGCTAAGTGAGAATGAGAGTGAGAATCCTAGTTATACAGGAGGCTGAGAGGAGGATCATGAGTTAAGGGTCCAGCCTGGATTATATAGCAAGATCTTGCCTCAAAAATAAAGCTCCAAACACCCAAAAGGTCCACATGTGAATTTAAAAGGTTTGCCAATGACTAGGTTTGTTCATTGGTAGCCCATATGTTGCTGTTCTTAAAATAGTTGCTGATAGCCGGGGGGCTAGCGGCTCATACCTGTAATCCTAGCTACTCAGTGGAGATCTAGAGAATCATGGTTCAAAGCCAGCCCGGGCAGGAAAGTCTATGAGCTTCTTATCTCAATTAACCACTTAAAAACCGGAAGTGGAGCTGGGTGCCAGTGGCTCACACCCGTAATCCTAGCTACTCAGGAGGCTGAGATAATAGGATCACAGTTCAAAGCCAGCCCAGGCAGGAAAGTCCATGAGACACATCTCCAATTAACCACCCAAAACCAGAAGTGGCGCTGTGGCTCAAGTGGTAGAGCGCTCGCCTTGAGCTGAAGAGTGCAGGGACAGCACCCAGGCCCAGAGTTCAAGCCCCACAACCACCACCACCAACAACAACAAAAACTGGAAGTGGAGCTGTGGCTCAAAGTCATAGAGCGCTAGCCTGGAGCACAAAAGCTCAGGGACAGAGAGCCCAGGCCCTGAGTTCAAGCCCCATGACCAACAACAACAACAACAACGAAGTTGCTAAGTAACAGTTATTTGAGATTTGAGTATGTATGGACTTCTCAGTTTCACTTCTGCTCATGGCATTGTAGGCCGGCTGGGGGCTCAGCCCCATATCTGCCATGCTGGATTGTCATTTTTATGTTATCTGGAGGTTCTCCTCCCCTGCCAAGGAAAAATGGTGATGTGAGGAGAAGAAAGCAACGAAGAGCGAGAATGCACTTGCGAAGCCATGTTCACTTCATGGAATTTTCCACTTAAACGTCATGGAGATTCTAACGTAGAATGCTTCTTACACCACTCATTCATATTATTTGAAATTGCTGGAGAAATGTAAGCTAAATTGTAAGCAAGGCACTAGGAGGCTGAGATCTGAGGATTGTGATTTGAAGCCAGCCTGGCAGCAAAATCTGTGAGACCCTTATCTCCTTGGCCACCAAAAAGCCAGAAGTGGAGTTGTGGTTTAAGTGGTAGAGCACCCTAAGTGAAAAAGCTTAGGAACAGCACCCAGGTCCCAAGTTCAAGCTGCAGCACCAGCACTGAAAACACAAAAACTAAATGACAAGAATAAAGAGAGCTGTGAACGACAATACTGCTTACAGCTCTAAAGAGTAAGATCGATGACTGGGTAGTTGGCTTGAGGGGTAGAGCACCTGTGTAACAGGCCCAAGGCCCTGAGTGTGAACCCAAGTATTACCAAGAAGGAGGAGGAGGAGGAGGAGGAGGAGGTGGGCTGGGAAGGTGGCTCAGTGGTAGAGCACTTGCCTTGCATGCCTGAGGCCCTGGGTTCGATTCCTCAGCACCACATAAGCTCAAAGAAAAAAAAAAAGCCGGAAGTGGCTCTGTGGCTCAAGTAGAGAGCTGAGGTACATCATCCAAGCCCAGAGTTCAGGCCCCACGAACGGACCCAAAGGAGGAGGAGGAGGGAAAAACAAGGATGTCATTACCAGACTTATGTACTGTAATTCCTCTGTACATCACCTTGATAACAACAAAAAAAACCATGAAAAAGAAAAAAAAACAACTGAAATAGTTAAAACCAAAAAAGTGGAAGTGGAGGTGTGGCTCAAGTGGTAGAAAGTCAGCTTTCAGTTGAAATGCCGAGTGAGAATGTGAGGCTCTGAGTTCAAGCCCTAATACTGGCATTAAACAACAACAACAACTTGGTGTTTCACCTGTAAATGATCAATCTGAATTTGCAAAGGTCTTACAAGGACTGGCTGATGAGTGGCTTGGAGCTGGAAACCTAGCTGCTCCTTGTGTGCCCTGGGTATTACCTGGGCACGGAACACAAACCTGAAACTATGTTATCTGAATTCTAGCTTTGACAGCAATGCACCTGCACTGCTAAGCTTGTACACATGCGCCTGCCTGAATTGGAGCTTGAATTGAGGGCTTGGGCACTTGTCTGTTTGTGTGTGTGTGTGTGTGTGTGTGTGTGTGTGTGTGTGTGTGTGTGTTCAAGGCTGGAACTCTAATACTGAGACACATTTTGCTTCCTTTTTTTTTTTAAGTGATGAATTGGAAATAAGAACCTTATTGAAGCTGGGCGCAGGTGGCTCAGGCCTATAATCCTAGCTACTCAGGAGGCTGAGATCTGAGGATCATGGTTCAAAGCCAGCCCCGGCAGGAAAGTCTGTGAGATTCTTACCTCCAATAAACCACTAGAAAACTGGAAGTGGCACTGTAGCTCAAGCGGTAGAGCGCTCGCCTTGAGCTGAAGAGCTGAGGGACAGCGCTCAGGCCCAGAGTTCAGGCCCCACAACTGACAAAAAAATAAATAAATAATAACCTTATTGATTTTCTTGCTCGTACTGACTTCAAATCTCAGCCTTCAGACCTCATCCTCCCTGAGAGGCTGGGATTATATGCATAGGCCACTGGTGCAGGCTTCTGCTGAGCATCCTTATATTACAAGCGAGCAAACTGGCTGGCTTTGAAGTTACTTGGTGTACCTATTTTAGATTTTGGCTTTGGTTATTTGAATTCTCCTTTTTTTTTTTTTGGGGTCCGGTCATGGGGCCTGGGTGCTGTCCCTCAGCTCTTCAGCTCAAGGCTAGCGCTCTACAACCTGAGCCACAGCGTCACTTCCGGCTTTTTTCTTTTTGTTTATGTGGTACTGAGGAATCGAACTCAGGGCCTCAGGCATGCAAGGCAAGTGCTCTACCACTGAGCCACCTTCCCAGCCCCGAATTCTCCTGTTTTTAACCTGCAAAAAATAGGTGCTTTTTGTGGTACTGGATTTGAACTCAGAGCTTGGTGAAATAGTTTTGGTCTGCTTAAGTCTGTCTAACCAGAGGTTATATTCAATAGTATACGTTTTAAAACTATGTATGTTTATGAGGGAGTACCTTCACATTCACACGCCTGAATTTCATACATTCTTTCCAAGGCATAACGTAACGTGTTGGGATCATTCCTTGCTTCAGTGAAAACCGAGGCAAATGCATATCACCCAACCTGAAGATGGAAAGCAAGAAGAGAAGACTGCAGTTAACGGTTGTTTTATCTCTGGGCACTGGTGGCCTACGGCTGTCATCCTAGCTACTCAGGAGGCTGAGATCTGAGGATCAAGGTTCAAAGCTGGCCTGGGCAGTCAAGTCTATGAGACTCATTTCTAATTAACCATCAGAAAATCAGAAGTGGAGCTGTGGCTCAATGTGGTAGATCATTAGCCTTGAGTAAAAAAGGTCAGGGACAGTGCCCAGGTCCTGAGTTCAAGTCCACGACCACCACCAACAAAATGAGTTGTTTTATTATCATTTTCTCCCCCTCTCCCTTCCCCGTCAGTAGTGGGGCTTGAACTTAGAGCCTAGCCACTTTTCTTTAGCTTTTTTCTTTTTTGCTCAAAACTGGACTCTACCACTTGAGCCATACCTCCTAGTGTTCTAGTGTCTTGGTGGTTAATTGGAGAGAAGGGTCTTCAGAACTTTCCTGCTCTGGCTGGCTTCAAATCACAATCCTCAGTTCTCAGCCTCCTGAGTCAGGGACACGATGCAAGCAATCGACCCTTTCAGCCCACCCTCACCACCAACCACCAAGATCCCGTCCAGCAGTGTCCATACGCCGAACACCCACAATTCCCCGTAACCTGGCTTTAAGGGGAAATACTTAAGGAAATACTTGGCTACTTACAGAAAAAGGATAGGGTAGAGTAAGGTAGGAGAAAGGAAGGTAGGGGAGGAGGTAAGAGGAGGGGAGGAGAAGGAAGGGAAGGGGGGGGTCAGATGCTTTTCATCTCAGCTCTGGGGAAGGTGAAAATCAGGAGGATCTGGGTTAAAGGCTAGTAGGGGAAAATGTTAGCCCCCAAGCTGAGCGTGGTGAAATGTGTCTGTCACCCTGGATACTAGGGAGGACAGCTGTGCCCTGAGGCTAGCCATGGGCAAAAAAGCAGGAGAAAAAGAAAATTTGAAAACTCCAGTAAAACAAGCACAAGCATGGCATGAAACCCTGGGCTCCACCCCCGTCACTGAAAACCAAAGACCCAGAACACTTCAGTGCTCACTTATGAGGGGGTTTAGATGAGCTCTCATCTGGGTAATCGTTGGCTAGTTTGGGTAAGGTAGGACTGGTGTCTCTTCCCGAATCCATTTCTCTTCTGGAATCTCCCTCCCGGGACTCTAGTTGTGATGAGCTGCTGCCACTGATGTAATAATAATGCGTGTGACTTCATAACAGCCCTTAGCTACCTTAGAAGCTGAGGGTTGGCACACAGTTTCAGTTTGGTGGCATCTTAAAAATCTGCTTGGAGCTTGGTGACAGTGGGCTCATGCCTGTAATCCTAGATACTCAGGAGGCTGAGAGCTGAGAATCATGGTTTGAAGTCAGCCCAGGCAGGAAAGTCTGTGAGCCTCTTATCTCCAATTAATCATTCAAAAGCCAGAAATGGTGCTGTGGCTCAAAGTGATAAAATGCTATCCTTGAGCAAAAAGAGCTCAGGGACAGCACCCAGGCCCTGAGTTCAAGCCCCATGACGGACTCCTCCCTCAAAAAAAAAAAAAAAAAAATCTGCCTGATGGCTCACACCTGTAATCCTACATACCCAGGAGGTTGAGATTTAAGACTGTGGTTCAAAGCAGTAAGATCTGTGAGACTCAAATCCACTTGACAGCAAAAAGCCAGAAGTAGAGCTGTGGCTTATGTGGTAGAGTGGGAAAAGAAATAGCATCCAAGCCCTGATTTCAAGTTCCGGTACCAGTACTAACAAAAGTATTCCTCTTCTTGAAAAACAAAATATAATGAACAATCTAAAAGTGGGAATACTTGCAGACATATTGCAAATGACATCCATGCAAAAATAAGGGACTAAATATTCACAAGTATTCTTTTTTTTTGTCGGTCATGGGGCTTGAACTCTGGCCTTGGGCGCTGTCCCTGCACTCTTCAGCTCAAGGTGAGCACTCTACCACTTGAGCCACAGCGCCATTTCTGGTTTTTGAGTGGTTTATTGGAGATAAGAGTCTCATGGACTTTCCTGTCCTGGCTGGCTTTGAATCGCAATCCTCTGATCTCAGCCTCCAGAGTAGCTAGGATTACAGTTGTGAGCCCCCGGCACCCAGTTCTTTATATTCTTTTTATGCACTTGATATTCTCTTTATACATGCCTTCTATTGTTTGCTGGTCTGATTTTCCTCTGCAGACTCTGCACACAATGCTTGATAAACCATTTGTGCTCTCACTTCTATATACGTGCTGTCTAAGCCAGGACCAAGTGAGGACTGAACTCAGTGACTGCTTGCGAGGCAGGCATTCTACCATTTGAGCCTCACTCCTAGCTCCCTTTTTGCCTCGATTATTTTCAAGCTAGGCTCTCCTTTATGCCCTGACAAGCCTGGGTTGGGATCCTCCTATTCTTGTTCCCCGTGTTGCTGGGGATGCTGGACAGGCATCCAGCCATGACGCTTCTCCTATGTCAAGCTACAGGTTTGTACCACCACCAGTAATTGAATGAGATGGAGTCTCTTTGAAGTTTTAGTTAGCCTGGCCTCAAACTAAGATCCTCTAATCTCTGCCTCTCAAGGAGCTAAGATTACAGGTATGAGCCAGCCAGTGCAACCCGAACTCATTTTAACAAAGCAAAGTATGGAGCAATACTCCTATTACTATGAGAGGTGGATGTCAGAGTATAAAAGCAACTAGCCATCAAGCAGGAAAAATGTTAGGATGAGCAGGAAGAACTACTCCAAGACATGATGGTTTGTAGTTGTATTAAATACAGATCTGGGAACAATGCAGGAACTGTCTTGATTTGGGTAGCCAAAGAAGTTTGAAGAGGAAGGTTTGAATTTTTAATTTTTTTAAACTTGAACTCAGAGCCTCGCACCCTTGCTTGACTTTCTTTCACAGCTAGCACTATACCTGATCTATGTATCCAGTTTGGAACTTTGCTGGTGAATTGGTAATGGTATTGGGGGCATCTTTGCCCAGTCAGGTTTCAACTCATTATCCTCCAGGTTTTAGCCTCCCAAGAGATTAGGCTTACTGATGAGCCACCAGCACATGGCTTGAGGAGGAATCTTTTTTGAAGAAGAATCAATAGAGGAAGAACAATAGAGAAAAGTCTAACGAGTATTGGCTTCTGTGAGAGTAGCAGGAACCAAACTAAAACTCTCTAGTTTCAAATGCAAAGAACTGGGTTGAGGCTCAGTGCAGTCAATTATCCCCAGCGCTAATGTCTTTAAACAATTTTCAATAGAAAAAGCATTTGTACTAGTATATGGCTTTAAATGTGCGGCATGTCTGTTCTCTTTGCTAATGTTGTATTGTGCATCTTTAAAAGCACCTCACAGGGCTGCGGCACTACCTCAGGGTCAATATTCAGTGATTTACTTGAAATATTTTTCTTCTTCTAATCCTATCAATTTTATGAAAAAATGAAATTATGAAATAAAATGAGCTGAGTGCTGACAAGTTTATGCCTAAAACTGCAGCTACTTAGGGTGCAGAATACAAGGCTCGCAGTTGGAGGCCAGCCCAAGCAAGAAGTCTGAAGCCTCACTCCATCTCACCCACAAGCTGGGTGCAGCAGCAGCACACTCTCGCCTTCCGACTTCACGCAAACTGTGAACAGGAGGATCTCACTGCCAGCTGGCTGGGGCAGAATGTGAGACCCTATTTGAAAAATAATGAAAGCAAGGAAAGCTGGGGGCATGGCTCACGAGGTAAAGTGTAGGCCTAGCAAGTGCAAGGCCCTGGGTTTAAACCTTGGTATACACACAAAAAAGTTAGTGCGTGGAAAGCTCAGTGGTAAAAGCACACACTTAACACGCATGTGACCTTGCTCGGTAATAGCACCGATGAGAGATGCATAAAGCTCATTAAGGACTGCCAAAAACAAAATTTATTTTTGCGTAATTTATAAATAAAAAGCAACTAATAACCATTTCCTTCTGAGATCCAAGTTCCAATAATACACTTTTAAGAACTACTAAAAGACTTCAAATACATTGTAAAGACCATTTTATAAGTGATGAATCATATTTTTTAATATACAAATTTTTGTTTCATGAGTACATTTCTGTTGATTTACTCTTTAAACTAGTTAACCCTAGAAACATATTTACTGGTTTTTTTTCTTTAACAAAAATGAGCAATTTGAAACTTCATGCAGATGTGACATAAATACCTAGCTTCCTTAACATAAGGTAAAACAAATCTTAGGCAGGCCATCACTGGGAATTTGAAATGTCCATGATAATAACACAGATGTGGGTCACAGAGTTTTAAGTACAATTCAAAAAGCTTTCTTTTGAAAGCTTCTGACTTTGAAAGTTTCTGTGGAGAAACAAACAAAAGGAAAGGACAGACAACAGAAGCTTGTTCTAGGTCCTGGTCCTTAGAATTGCCTAAAACCATCTGGGGGTGGGTGGGGGTGTGTGGTCTCCACCTATAATCCCAACACCCAGGAGGCTGAGGATTCAGTGTGAGGCCAGCCTGAAATATACAGTGAGATCCTATGTCTAAACAAACAAACCAAACTCCAAAGGACCAAGTTCTTAGTAACAGAGAAGATAGTAACATGAATATGTTAGTTACGTATTTGTAACAATTCAGTGTTCCCTCAGGCTCTAATGGAATGTTCTGAAACCACAGCATAATTCAGCACAAAGACAAATCAGAAACAGAACCTAATAGAAGTTTGGAATAGCATGTTATCATGACCAGGTCAGAACAAAGTATCAGCTGGTAATAGTCATAATTCACATCAGCACATGCAGCCGACGGAGAGGTTAAATACTGTGCTGCACACTTTCCGGTGCTGTGTCAGACACAAGCATCTCCAATGCTTCACTTTGTCACACTCCTTTGCCCACTTAATATTAACACTTACTAACAGCAAGAAACAGCTCTCTCCTCCAGATTCTCATGTCTGTCAGTACAAAGTAAATCAGACAGCAGAAACGTTGACTACACTGTGTAGAAAATGTCCACGATGCACTTAAAATATGTCCAGGTCGTGAGAGTGGTCCACCTCGAAGGCCTCGTCTGCGCCCAGCCTGGCGTCCCCGCGGCCTTCCTGCGGCTCGCCCAGCGAGGCCAGCGCCTCGTTGGTGTCGCTGGCGAAGGTTTCCCGTGACGTGTCGTCCTCCTCTTGGAAATTCAGACTTTTGATGGCCTGTTTCATTTTCTTCCCCAATAGTTGTGTTCTCCTCTTCCTAGCAGCTTTTTTATTTTCATATTCCTTTTGATTTTCAATGTAGAAAATGTCCTGTAATAAAAGCAGCTTTAGTTAGAACCAAAAAACAAACAAAAGAAGCTATCGTTTATGGAAAGCTCATTGTAGGAAGGCCCGTCTCTGTTGTCTCCATTTCTCATCATCATAATAATAATGAGTATTAGCAGGCCCATCATTCCACACAGGCCAAGCTGATAATAAAGTAGGAGTAGCTTCTGTAAGCCAGGGCTCAAGTTCACTTGCATTCTACATAACACAGCATCTCTACGGTTTAAAAGTGCCCGAATACAAAGGCACAGCAGGAAAATCAGGTTGTGCAGGGTTGAAATCTACTGTCCATGCTGGGAAACTAAGCCATGCTTGAAGTGTGTGAATAACAAAAGCCATGTGACAAGTATAATGTACACTTCCTTCTAAAAAAAAAAAAATGAAAGTGGGGTATGGCGGTATGGCCTGTAATCCCAGCATGGGACAGTGAGCTTGAGGCCAGCCTGGACGAACAGAGGGTCTCAAAAGAACAAAAAAATGACTTCAGATAAGGTGAGAATTGTGTGTGGTAAGACCTGTCTTCATGGCGTAGAATAACCAGCTTAGGACACACAAGATGAGAAATGTGCATGGTAAAACCTTTCATTCTGGCATAGAATTGAACCTAGAACATACTAGGGTGCTAGAGAGAAATGGCAGCATGCCACTGAGCTAGCTCCAGCCTCCCTGAGTGACGCTGCAGGCTGTGGGGGGAGGGGAGGGCGGCAGGAGAGGTAGGGGGATGTCTACTGTGTACTGCTAGACTTTTAGCAGCAACCTGATTTGTACTTCTACCTACCACAGCCTCAACCATCTTCAGTTGCTACCCATGTCCTGAGGAGCATAACCACCAGAGGGTGAGACTTATTCTAGCAGCACTATATATTTAGTTCCCACTAAATATATAAACAAGGAAAACTAGAAAGCAGCGATGTGGGAGCCTTGCTAAGTGGAGTCACCGACGGTGCAAATAAGGAAAAGCAGGTCTGCAATCTAAAGAGAAATCCAAACAGAATAACCAAGAAAACGTTCAGAGTTTCATAGGTGAAAAAATTGTAGTTGAGTAAAATTGATTTGCTCATGGTCAAATAAAGATTAAAACTCAGATCTTAACAATTGCAAAGCAAATTTTAGAGATTTTTTATCGTATCATACTAACAATGCATGTATGTTTCTGCAAGAGGCACCTGAATATCAAATAAAACCCCAAGAAGAATGTCTCTTCCAACTACACACTTCTCCACGCATTACACTGGAGGAAGGAAATGAACATGGAAGTCATCTCTCTCTATTACCCAACATGTGTCTTTATGGGAACATATACTGCTATAAATCATGTTATCAAAGTAATTATTCCTACGAGGAGAGCAAACAATTACTAAGTAAAATTTTAGATGTATCATTTAAGTCACATTTCTGCAGGATTTTCAATTATAGATTAAAAAAAAAGAGAGGCCACAAAAATGAACATTCAGATTTTAGGGAAAAGCCATTCCCAAGGACACTTCGGTACTCACATGAAGCACCAGTTCAAGGTCGATGGCTTTAAGCTGTCCCCCAGCATTAGAGCCAGTGACTGTAACACACATTATTGTGAGCATTTAGTGTGCTGACATCCCAAGAAGAGTGTGCAGTCACCCTGTAGAGCAGTTGTGTTCAGGGCACTGCATCTTTCCTGTCCAACAGGCCTGATTCCAAACCTGTCAAAAGTTTAGATGCAAAGCCTCTTCCCTGATGAACAGATTAAACAGCTGGGCATGGTGGTCACGTGCATATAACCCCAGTACTGGCAGGCTATGGCAAAAGGAGAATACACTTGATGCCAGCCTGGCTACTTAGCTTAAAAAAAAAGGCAAAGGAAAAAGTAAAACACACTAACTTTAGATATGTAAATATATTCCCTATATCCCAGAATGATTTTAAGACTATCTTGCAGTTAAGAAATATAGAAGATAAAGGAACAGTTGGAATTAAGACAGGAGCAGATAATCTCAGTAACAAGATAATCAAACGCTGTAAAAAATCACCTTGAATTCTTTGAAAGGTGTAAATGACCAGTGAAAAATGTTGGTTTAAAAAGTAATGGGAGGGGCTGGGAAGTGGCTCAGTGGTAGAGCGCTTGCCTTGCATACATGAGGCCCTGGGTTCGATTCCTCAGCACCACATAAGCAAAAAGAAAAAAAGCCGGAAGTAGCACTGTGGCTCAAGTGGTAGAGTGCTAGCCTTGAGATGAAGAGCTGAGGGACAGCGCCCAGGCCCAGAGTTCAGGCTCCATGACCGGACCCTCCCCCTGCACCCCCTCCAAAAAAAGTAATGAGAGCCAGGCACTGGTGACTCACGCCTGTAATCCTCAGGAGCCTGAGAGCTGAGGATCATGGTTCAAAGCCAGCCCAGGCAGGAACGTCCTTGAGATTCTTATTGCCAGTTAACCACCAGAAAACCAGAAGTGGAGTTGAGGCTCAAGTGGTAGAGCATTAGCCTTGAGCCTGAGGGACAGCGTCAAGGCTGAGTTCAAGCCCCATGACTGACCCCCCCCCCAAAAAAAGGGAGCCAACTAATGAATGGATTCTGGTTGGAGTGAAAAGGTAGAATGCCAAAATAGTAACCATTGCTAAGCATCTAGGTATTTGGTCATCTTATTCTTCTGTTTTGTTGTTTAGAAATGTTCACTAACAAAAAAAAAATTTAGGATAGAAAAAATAATTAGGTGCCAGCAGACCAAGATGATCTGAAAGGGAAGAAAATGATGGCTACTTGAACTGACACCATGACAGGCCAGGTCCATGCAAGGCAGCAGAGCATGACCTACAGGCTGAGTGGAGGTCAGACTGCCATGCATCTTAAAGGCCAAGAACATCAGCATTACCTTAATTTGTTCTTCACTGATACTAGGAGTGTTTTTCAGGAGATTTAGAAAAACTCCGCCCGGTGTTCTTCTTCTACTACCATTCTACAAAAGAAACAGAAATATCAAACTACACATTCCTTTTATTTTTTGCTGTGCTGGGAATTGAACCCAGGGCCTTGCCACACTGGGTGTAGCTCTAGTACTGAGCTACATATCTCCAGCCCTCCAACTCCATAGAATCCTCCTACAAACAGCCAAAGCATCTTCTGGCAGACACAACTGAGGAAATAGGAAAAAATGACAGACCTGCAGCCCAGTCCTGAGTCTGACTCTTAAAACACACCAGAGAATTTAGGCTACAAAATAGTAGTAACTCAAATAGTATTTTCTTAAAACTCAAATAACATATGCTAATCATCCTTTCCTGTATTGAGAAACACTAGTTAGCACTTCAGTACTATCAATAGGGGCCAATTTAAGCATTAAATTACCAGAAAAATAAAGCATGAAAATATGAAAAGTTGCCAGGCACCAGTGGCTCACGCCTGTAATCCTAGCTCCTCAGGAGGCTGAGATCTGAGGATAGAGGTTGAAAGCCAGCCCTTCAGGAACATCTGTTTGACATCTAATTAACCTCCAGAATATCCTAAATGGTGCTGTGGCTCAAGTGGTAGAGTGCTTGCCTTCAACTGAAATGCTGAGGGACAGTGCCCAGGCCCAGAGTTCAAGCCCCATGTCAAAAAAAACAAAAACAAAAACCATGGGGCTGGGAAGGTGGCTCGGTGGTAAAGCGCTTGCCTTGCATGCCTGAGGCCCTGGGTTCGATTCCTCAGCACCACATAAACAGAAAAAAAAAGCTGGAAGTGGCACTGTAGCTCAAGTGGTAGAGCACTAGCCTTGAGCTGAAGAGCTAAAGGACAGCACCCAGGCCCAGAGTTCAAGCCCCATGACCAGACCCTCCCCCCCCCAAAAAAAATCATAGCACTAAAGAAATTGTCTTGAGGACTCTTCTTTGGGGCCCCTCTCCAGATGGAGAAGCTTACTACTTTCTTTCACAGTTTCACTTTCACTTTCAAATAAACTCATTCAGTTTACCAAAAAAACACGTACACACACAAAAAAACAAGTACACACACACAAAACCTGCTTGAAAAGACACTTGTCTACAAAAGGTAATGCTGTTTTGTTCAGCTGTAGTTGAAATTTGTATACTAGATGACTGACTCTAGTCTGCATGTCTGGGAATGACTGAAAACACAACTAATACTGACGACATTACATGTCTTACCAACTTTCAAATATAGTCAAGAAACAATTAAGACCAACTGTGCGTGCACGTGTGTGCATGTGTTAATAAATCTCTCTCCAGCTCCCTACAGTCCCTGGTACTCCGCTCTCAACTACGTTAATATTCAAACAACTGAATTTTTTAAAAATCAGAAAATTCAAAGCCAGCCTAGGCAGGAAAGTTTGTGAGACTGTTATCTCCAACTAATTACCTAAACACTGGAAGTGGAACTATGGCTCAAAGTAGTAGAGCGCTAACCTTGAGCAAAAAAAAGCTCAAGGACAGCGCCTAGGCCCTGAACTCAAGGCCCACAGACTGAACAAAAACAAAATCAACCAACCAACCAAACAAAAAGCAGCTATATAATGAACAACAGAAACTGTGAAAAGTCTTACCATTATGAAAAGACCCCCATTCTGTTCCACTTCAGCAGTTTCCATCAGAAGCTCAATTGCCTTTTTGTTCCCAATTATCCTCACTACTCGGGCTATCAGATCCTTCTTTGGTTCCTGCAACCTGATTAAAAGAACAAATAAAAAATTATTTCTTATAGTTGATGAAGGAACCGACTTACTCATGAGCAGGAGACTGTGACCCCAAGGGTTCACCTCAAGTCTCACACTCGATTTCTCACTGGCCTTGCTCATTGTGGCAGATTTCAAAGGGAAGATACACCTCACCACGTGGTGAAGAAAAGCAAATGCAAATGATAAAAGAGAATTGACTCCCTGCCAAGACAAGTACTAACCATACACTGTGCTTCTAATCACCCTCCTAATTCCAGATGTCTGGATAGATCTTCTCTTCAAAGAAAAGATCTTGTCCCAAACAAAAAAATGAAATGGCAATTATTTACAGATTATGGCAATTATTTACTATTGCAATTACAATAAGCATGATCCTAAGAACCTTTGCATTATGTCAGTTTTTTCAACATCATGAATCAGACATTTCTTTCCATTTTCCCATTGAGCCTAAAAATACAGGTAGCTCTTCTAATCATAAGTAACTCTTCTAAGGAACTGTGGCCACACTCCAATCAGATCGGTTGCCCTTTGTTTACTGCAGGGGAGACAGTGTGTGAGCTGCTGTGGAAACACTGAGGAACAAACTAGAGCTTGCAGTTAGCTTCAGGCCAGACACCAGAGGCTCACACCTACAATCCTACTTAGGAGACTGAGATCTGAGGATCACAGTTCAAAGCCAGCTCAGGCAAAAAATACAAGATTCTTATCTCCAATTAACTATCAGAGAAAATACAAGATTCTTATCTCCAATTAACTACCAGAAAAAAGACAGAAGTGGCTGAAGTGGTGGAGCGCTAGCCTCAAGCACAAAGAGCATAGGGATAGGGCTGGGTTGTGGCTCAGTGGTAGAATGCTTGCCTGGCATTCATGAAGCCCTGGGTTCCATTCCTCAGTATCACATAACCAGAAAAAGCTGGCAGTGGCGCTGTGGCTCAAGTATTGGAGTGCTAGCCGTGAGCAAAAGAAGCTCAGGGACAGTGCCCAGGCCCTGATCTCAAGCCCCAGTAATGGCCAAAAAAAAGAAAAAAAAGAAAAGCCCAGGGATAGCACCCAGGCTGAGTTTAAGCCCCAGGACTAGCACAAATGAACAAAAGAGATTTAGCTTTAGCTCTGATTTTAACTATCCCTTTCTCTCTAGTTAGGCGAATGCTTTAGTTTCTTTTTTTTTTTCTTTTTTTGTCGGCCATGGGGCCTGAACTCTGGGCCTGGGAGCTGTCCCTCAGCACTTCATCTCAAGGCTAGTGCTCTACCACTTGAGCCACAGCTCCACTTCTGGCTTTTTCTGCTTATGTGGTTGTGAGGAATCGAACCCAGGGCCTCATGCATGCAAGGCAAGCACTCTACCATTGGGCCACCTTCCCAACTCCAATGCTTTGGTTTCTAAACTCCAACTTCCTTTTCAGAATTCAGATTCCACACTTTGTATTTTTAAAAAATCCAGTACTAATGTGGGGATACGCTTGAAGGAAAAATAAATACTTTATTTCCTCTCTTATCTATATTTGTTTTCAATAACAAGTTAATAAAAATTTGAACTTATGACACACACACAAATTAGTCACCCATCAAGCAATTCGGTTCCTTATTTACCCCAAAGGAATGAAAATGCACGTTCAAAGATCTGCAAGCACAGCCACATACACAATATGGAGTAGTTACTGCTTCCGGCTACAACATGAGCCACTTTCAAAATCTTTACTAAATGAGAAAGCTAGGCGCAAAAGCACACACCATATATACGATTCTATTTGTCCACAAAAGGCAACTCACACAGAAAGCAGAAAAACTGCCCAGGAATCAGAACACAGATTAACTGAAGATGGACCCGTGGATGGGAGGGATCTATGATGGCAGTGGTACACCCTGGTAAACCCAGTGCAAAAGAATCCGCACTCACACTGGCAGCTTGGCTGTGGGTGGGGTGGAGGTGGAGTGCTATTGTTCAGTAAGTGAATCACTGAGTTCAAACCCTAGTACCTCCAAAAAAATAAACCTACTAAAAATGAGATAATATCCCATGTAAAATATACCCCAATGAAGTTTAATTAGTATCTTTGCCTGTTCTGGAGCTTGAATTCAGGGCCTGGGTGCTCTCCCTGAGCTCTTGTGCTAAAAGCTAGCACTCTACCACTTTGAGCCACAGCTCCATTTCATAGTTAACTGGAGATAGGAGACTCAAAGAATTTCCTGCCTGAGCTGGCTTTGATCTGTGAGATAGGAGACTCAAAGAATTTCCTGCCTGAGCTGGCTTTGATCTGTGAGATAGGAGACTCAAAGAATTTCCTGCCTGAGCTGGCTTTGATCTGTGATCCTCAGATCTCAGGCTCCTGAGTAGCTATGATTACAGGTCTTGATTTACTAGCACCCTGCTTACAAAATCTAATTTAATCTACTTTTTTTTTCCCATATAAGAGGACTTTTTGTCCCAGTTTACAAATGAGAAAACTGAGATGCATAGTATTAGTTTTCCCAGGTAACAGCAACTTCATATTATTAGTTAGGATCACAGTCATGAGCCAGTAGTGCCTGGCTCTCAAAAAACCTCTTTGAAAGTCACAAATCCTAAAATACTACCAAAAACCCAAGTTTAAAAGGTATGTTTTACCTTCAAAGCAGCATGACACTAAATACAGAGAAAATTGCTTGAAAGTTAAAAAACCATTATTTTGTCAGATCAGGACTGTCCAAATTTAAGAAAACTCAAATGTATTCACACCATCAAACAAACCCAAAGTAAAAAACAAAAACAAAAAACAGAAAAGGGCTGGAGGTGTGGCTCAAAAGATAAATTTGCTTTAGCAAGCTTGAGGTACTGTGTTTAAATCCAAGGGGGGGAGAAAAAAACAAAAACCAACCCAAAACCCTCAAAAAGAGTCATATATATTTAGTACTTATTTTCTTCCTGTAAATAGAGAGCATTTGGCCAAGTCCTCATTTGTAAGATATTTTTTTTTTTGTCAGTCGTGGGGCCTGAACTCTAGGCCTGGGCACTGTCCCTGAGCAATTCAGCTCAAGGCTAGCATTCTACCACTTGAGCCACCGATCTACTTCCAGCTTTTTCTGCTTATGTGGTGCTGAGGAATCAAACCCAGGACCTCAGGCATGCAAGGCAAGCACTCTACCACTGAGCCACCTTCCCAGCCCCTGTAAGGTAAATTTAAATGTTTACCTGAAGGCAATTTCATCAGCCACTTTCTCCTGAGTATCATCTTCTGAGATCTCATATCGGCCTTTGTAGTCCATTTCCAGTCTGGAGCCAAGTCTGTCTCTGGCAGGTCGCTTCCGTTTGAGATGACTCTGCCCATTTTCTTCTTCCCTCAACTCAGGTTTTTTGCCACTGTGCATATACTCATCTAGCTCTTTGTCTAAATCTTTTGTACACTCCTGAGATTCTCTCCTAAGTTTCTTAGCAAGCAAATAATTGTAGGTCTCCGATTGCCTGCTCTTGTCAATACTGCCTTCCATCCCCAAGATACCAAGTTCACAGGCCACTGCATCTTGACTCTGTTCCTGAAGCACAGCTCCCCAGATGTTGTTTATCTTCTTTCCTCCAGCAACAGCTGGCTTCTGACTGCTCTGGTCAAACTGAAAAGGCTCTGGTTTTGGTGGCAGGTTCAGACATTTCTGTCGCTTGCGTTTCCAGAGAGAGCTATCTTCATCGGAATCAGAAAAACTCTCTTCACTTGAATCCACACTTTTAACAGTCCGATAATGTGATACAGGCATACATGCTGTAGCAGTGCTCTGGAAGGTCCTTACAGTGTTGTCTCCCACGAGTGTTTTCTGCAAGTAAAAGAAAACAGTCAGAACACATTAATTCCGCCTACATGGACTACTAAAAAAAATGTTGTCAGATATAGTGCATGCCTGTAATCCCAGCATGCGGGAGGCCAAAGCAGGAAGATGAGAAGTTTAGAGCCACCCTAGGCTTCATAACCAGACCCTGTCTCAAAAACAAACTATAATAAGGTTGAAATTTCACAGCATTAATTTAGGCAAGTCAACTGATTAAAAAAAAAAAAAAAAACAGCTGCAAAGTGACTGAAAAATAAAATTCCGGCAGCAATTTCCTAGGACATTTATATGGACAGTATTGTTTTTTGGTGGTACTGGGGATTGAACTCATGGCCATGTGTTTACTAGGCTGGTGCTCTAAACTACTTGAGCCACATCTCTTTTGCTTTAGCTACTTTTCAAATAGGGTCCCTACTTTTCCCAGGGCTAGCTTCATACCTTGATTCTCCAATCTCTGCCTCCTAAGTAGCTAGGATTAGACACAAGCCACCGTTTCTGGTCTCACTTTTTCCTTTTTTTTCCCCACTCCCCCCCCCTTTTTTTTTGTTCAGTCTTGGGGCTTGAACTCTAGTCTCCTGAGTAGCTAGGATTACAGGTGTGAGCCACCGGGGCCCGGCTACTTTTTCCTTTTTGATTGCCGTAAGTAACCTCAAATTTATGGGGTCCAATGTGACATTTTGATCCATGTAAATGTTGTGTAATAGTCAGATCAGGGTAATTTGCATATCAATCACCTCTAACAGTCAAAATCCTCTTTTCTCCTTATAGGCCCACAACTACTGAATTGTACCCATGCTAAGAAGGCACTCTACC